GGGCTTATAATTCAAAAACGGCACGGTGAAATTTCTTTGTATCATCAAATTGTGAAAAGCATAACAAGACGCACCTTTTGGCAAGTTTTGAAAAAATTCTGCACATAGGGTTCAGAGCCACCTTAAATTTTTAAAACTTTAAGGTGGCTCTGAACCCTATGTACAGAATTTTTTAAAACTTTGCCAAATGTTGCGTCTTATCAGGCTTTTTAAAATTTGATAATATGAAAAAGCTTCTCTTTGCTACAACGCGGAGGAAGAGTGACTTCAAGAAAACAAACTCCAAAAAAACAATTAAAGTGACTTTAAGATATATATATCTACCATGCCATAAAAAGTACAGGTAATCAGAACACAGGAAAGCCGTTGTAAATTTGACGGTATTAAATCCAACCTTCCCATCGTGTGCCACGCGTATGTCGCATTGTGTGACCTCTGAATTTTCTATGGCATTATTGTAAAAGCTCGTATATCATGCAATATCCCACTTGTCACTTGTATTTTCTTGGTGTACACGCTCGCCTAAAGCCTTGTGTGTATAGGCGAGAAAGTTCAATTGGTCGTGGGATACTCCAAGGTATCATACCACTCGAAAGCGTTGCATAAATTAACTTTTATGCAGTTTAAAAACTGTACAGTATATGTAGGCGGTTAAATTTCGCGTCGTCAATTTTCGTGGTAATCTTTTTTCGAAACCCTTAAATTTCGTCAGTTTGTTGCTATCGAGAAAGTAGTTAAATGAGGTAAATAAAATAATCATAAATAGGCGCAAATTATTTGAAAGGTATCGTAAAGGTAAATAAACTGGTCAGCGGATGTGGCCTGAGCATTAAGTTCGTGATATTTATAAAGCATCCCGCATCCACCTAATTAGTCTGATCACAACCTGAGTTAGTTTGGTCGTGTTTGTTTCTACAATTAGTGATCACAAAATCGAGAATTGCCATGCGTGAAACGTCGCGACAAAGCCGCTTGTGAAATACAAAATGGTATTCACTGCCTTGGCTACTCATTCCGGCCAATGAAATCAATAAGTGCGGGCCTTGTTCCTCTGTTTTTGTTGCCGGAACATGATACTGTCACAAACATTTCAAACTTAAATGGAATATTAAGAGGGATTAAGAACACCTGACAAAACGAGAAATCAATCGAACTTACCCGGTACCGTGCACTCCGACCCAATACAACATCCATAATGAAAAACCAACCAACATTTTCTCTTTCTTCTAAAAACACAATAGTCCCTCTAATAAAGGAGTGAAATTCTTTCACATGGTTTTCTTGTCGCTACCTTCGTCTTCTGAGATAGCATTTCGCAGTGTCGGTTAATCAGTGATGTTTGTTCTGTTGCAAAATCCCTGTCTGTAATCAACGAACCATGACTAATACAACCTGCTTGTCATGACATTGTTTATTGAATAGTTTTCATGAGACAGCAAATAGGATCAAAGAATACACTGTGTTTTGATTACCTTTTTACATGTTACTTCCGTGAAATTAAAATACGCGAAGCAACCAAAGTGATGTATCAGTCGATTTGAAACTTCAACTTCCCCCTGGGAAATCCTCCGGGCATTTTCAATTGGTCAAATACCTTTTTCACCCTCCAGGCCACAAATGGTGTTCAAATGCCCCATCTTAGGGCCAGTTATACAAGTGATCAGTTGCCCCAACACCCAGGAGACGTATGGGAAAAAGTGAGATAGTGGAAAAGAAAAATCAAAGGCTCTCGTGCCACTCGTTTAGTGCGAAGAGATCCACTGAGCCAAACAAGTGTATTAAATATAAGTGCCGGCCCGATTCGACCCTTATCGACAATTCAGGTTAATGTTTGTTGTTTATACCTGTTTGCTTACTCTCGGAAAGTGCGCGTTATATGATAGTTTTTACTCTGCTCACTGTGATCCCTATATTTTTTCTTATGTTAGGGTTACATTTAGGTTTTTGGGACTAAAACAGGTTGTCACACAGTTTAGAGGGTGGTAAAGGGTATTTCCGTGATTCCTAAATGGCCTAATTTTTTTTCCCGTGAGGTGTGAAGTGGATTGATTTTTTTTCTCGTGAATCGTGATTTCATTAGAAGCCGTGAACCGTGAGTTTCCTAAATAATTCTCAGTGAAATGACAAAGAAGTATTTAAGGACGTTCGCGCTAATTGTTTTTTCGCATCCTTACTGCGCACGCAAATTCACACGCCACGTCATGCATCGATGCGCGCGCTACGTAATAAAGTGAACAATGATAGGGCAGATGGCCGATTGCTATAGCTTTGCCTGGATTTAACGATCTTGGACGTTTGTGACGCCTATTTTTCTTTTGATGGATCATCTTCTCTACCGATTTTCTACGTTTAGCGAAAAAATAAAGAAAATCAATCGTTTAGAAGTTTGAATATTTTTGCAAAATGAACCATTGAATTCCGTTGTTTTTAGCTCTCCGTTTATCTGTGCGGCGGTTTCAAATGAAAACGTTGGCAACATTTGGAATTATTTATGCAACAGACGCACTTCTACAAAATATGACTAAGATCGTCGACTCACCTTTGATATTTTTATATAAACCCCTGTAGACCAAGCTGAATTACGTGCTCCAATTTTTCAAAATCAGGGTAGTTTTCCACACGCTTTATCTCTGAAACGAAGTGGGTGACCCCCAATTTTTTTTGGCATTTCTGACACAGGTAACTCATTATCTAACTGCAGTAAAATTTTAAAAAAAATCTATCGACTAGAAAATTTTAGCGCGACCATCCTTAATTTGTCGTGAATCGTGATTTTGGTTTTGCCTTCTGTTCAATATTGCGTTACCGTGACAGGACAATCATCCCTCTTCGTGTTCTTTTTTTGTGAAAGGTGAAATACCGATTTTACTTCCCGTGAATTGTGAAAGGGCCCTTACCGACCCCTTTACCACTCTCAGTTTAGAATTCCATGTCTTCCATTTCAGGAACATTTACACGGCTCTGTATTTAAGCCAATTTTTAGCTTAAATCTGTTGCTTTATTTCATGGATTGAAATGATACTGACATCAGAGGAAACGAAAAACAGTCAGTGAGAATATAGTGCTTCAGTCATTTGAACCCCGCCCCTCATTGGGAGATACCCGGGACATTCACTTTTACTGTCAGTGAAATGCAGTGAAAGCCTTGTCTTTCGGGCAAAGAATTCAGAGTGAACTCCCCCGCCCTCTCGATGGCTCCGAAAAAGCATGATATTAAGCGACTGAAATGATACCTTCTTCGTCAGTTGTTCAACCTCCGTTTTCTGCGAACATTCAACTTGAACCCAGTCTTTCAAAAGAGGTCGCGAACTCCCGTCAAACCATCACTCAGCCCCCGCGAATCCCGCGTGCACTGAGTGAAAACGAGGTGAAAACCCCCGGTTTGCCCCAGGTATCCCCCAATGAGGGTGGAGGAAGGTTCAAATGACCGGTGCACAAGTTCCGGGTGATTCGCGTTTTGCTTTTTTTGTCGACACCCTGATAGTCACCTCAGCGTTTCTGGTGCACAGCCCATTCGCTTGCCACAAATGTATTTTCCCATAAGAAGACTGATTTATAATCCACTCAAATGACCAAAGAAAGAGCAAGTAAAGGAATCCCAACAAAAAAAAGAGGAAAAAAAAAAAATAATGTGTCAGAAGTGGGATTCGAACCCACGCCTACAAGAGTAGACTGCGACCTGAACGCAGCGCCTTAGACCGCTCGGCCATCCTGACCACATATCACGTCACGAATTTCTTTTAGTATCTAAAGTTTACCTAAGAGGCTTTGTTTATTCCGGGTCAGCGGTTTGTTGATTTTTACCCATGCACTCGTGCCACAGTTTAAAATGGCGGATTAGATACTGAAACATCCGACGTTAATGAAATGGACCAGTTGTTATTAGACGCTAAACGCCTGGCATCTCGTCTTCGTGAGCATAATGCCTCGTCAGATGCACTCATTGGCCAAGCAAACAATTTACACTTTAAAGTGGATGCTATGAAGCAGGTAACGATGTCAAAATTTGGACTAGAATTATCTTTTTTACAGTTTTGTAAATATTAAGCTTTGGTTTTACATGTATGTCAGAATTATATTGCTTTACACTGTGATTGACAAGAAACAGAACTCGACAGCTTGCAATTATTGTAAGCTGCACATGAGCACTGCCACGTGCAGGAAACATGTTTTGTTACGGTTTTGCTAAAACAAGCTCATTTATTAATGTTCAGTGTTTTTCCAGGATAAAAGGTTGACTTGAGTAGCACTGAATATTTTGAACAGACTAACTATATTTCTTAATGTCATCACTATGACTTTGATTTGTAACAGAATGGAAAAGAGGTCTACTAAACCTGGCTAAGTCAATCGAACATTCGGTAATCGAACTCAGTCGAACTCCAATTGTTTGATTGATTTCAGTTATTAGGTTTGGCAATCGAACATAATTGAACTCACCCAAACTTTTTGCCAACTGAATACAATCGTACAATCAAAAATTGTGTGGTTCCAGAAAATATCCATATCCCCCACAGAGGGTTTTATCCAGTTTGACGCCCCACCCTCCAGGATTTTCCGTTCAGGGGGCTTTACAGTACTCCCCCCACCCACTGGAATTTCCATGCTTTTTCTACTTGGACCCCCCTACCCCTCGGAAATTCCGTATCCATAAAAAGCAAGACTTTAATCATGGATTGTAATAAAATTTAGCCACAGCTGTTTATAGTTACATTGTAGACAGACATACTTTTTCACGGTAGACTGCAGACACGGCCCGTTCCTTCATGTCATGTTAAAATGTTTGAACCGGTGTTTAAACTAATAAACAACTGACTTACAAGCACTTCACTCCCAAATGGCATAGCAGCTGACTTTTTCTTCATTAAAGGAAGTTTTCATACAAGAATCTCGAAACGTACATAGAGCTCTTTCAAATAACCGAGTTGAAGTTTAAATTTATGCATGGTCAAAACAACATATTGAATTACTTTACACACGTAGAAAAGTCGTCATGCAACTTTTTTTCAAAACAGCTGTTTCCCAAATGTCACTTTATTTTTTCTTTCACCAAAGGAATACATCAATTAAGTCATATGCTTTGTCTCTTTAGTTTGTAAATGATAGTAAATTCATTGTGTGCCTTAGTTTTTTGAATTGGCGTACATTTCATACGTGAAACACGCATTGTTCAGTCAGTCTATAAACGACCGACTGAAATCTCATCTACCGTTCCAATTACAACACTCCTCGCTGTCCACGTTTACATGTAGTTCAAGACAAATGGCTTTGAATCAACTTTGCTTACTTGAAGCAAACTGTTAGCTACACAGATAATGATGAAAATATGTGCCAACCTAGTTACGGCAATTCCGAAACAGGAATTAATTTTGTACGAGTATCAAACGAAATAAACAAAATACAAATCTCATTTAATTGACAGCATGATTAATGCTGGAAAGAGCATCTGAGCTGCATTCAAGCTAAATACAGCGCAATCTTCAAAGTATAAAATATCATCAACTTCATTGTTCATGTATTGTTGCACCTCTTCGTCGGCCGGCATTTTGTTCAATTTGATGTCCAACAAACACGATACTCAGGATTGCCATCTGTCGTACGACATCGGAAGAAAAATGGAAAATATACATGTGTGACAAAGAATCTAACATTTATTTCAACGGATGAACATTTCTGTTGGCTTGGTTGCCTGAATCAATTGGGAACGTATGGTAGTGTTCATTCAATCGTGTTTCACACCCACTGGAAAGAAAACTCTTTGAGTAGCCCCTTCCCCTTCGGAAATCTATCTCTTTCAGTCCCCCCTACCCCTCAGAATTTCTGTGACCTGCCATGGGGGGTATAGATATTTTCTGGAACCACACATTGAACAATTGTTCAATCGCACTAAATCAAACTCCAATCATTGGATTGATTTGGATTGGCTTTGGCAGTCTAACATAATCAAACTCTAGATTGATCGATCCTTCCTTCACTTTCGAACAGGGCATTACTGTCAAATAAGTTTGTGTGAGCTTCAAGTCGCATCAAAGATCGCCTGTGTTAATGGGCCTCAGTTTTACTAATAAGAGAATATCCCTGATCAATATTATCCCGCACATTGTAACAATAGACTGTTGACTACATTGAAATCTACCTGTATTTACCCATGTAATAGTCAATCCCATGTATAAGTCGACCCCCAATTTTTGAGGCCAAAAACAAGATTTTCTTAATTTCCAGGTAAGAATTTCTTGGAAAGCTCTTCTTGTATTTCTTAGAATTTTCTTTCAGCTACTGCGGATATGTGAACAAATCACAGCAAGTTTCAACATGAAGTTTTGCCAAGCTTATTATGGCATGTACAAGAGCATTTTACCCAGTTTAGCAACACATGTGTATGTAGGCTTTTTGACGATAATTTTTGTAAAATGCTCACAAAATCAAACATGATGATTTCAAACGAACCTTTTTAAGTGTGTAGAGATACAAAGTGGCTTTAGAAGACAGGGAAAACACCAAAGAA